CCAGCTAATTTCTTTCTACTTTTAGTAGAGACGGGGTCTCACTCTTGCTCAGGCTGGTCTCGAACTCCTGAGCTCAAACAATCCACCCGCCTCAGCCTCCCAGAGTGCTAGGATTACAGGCGTGAGCGACCGCACCCGGCCAAAAATAAATTTTTCATTAAATTAGAAAGGATCATTTTGTTTTTGAAGTTTTTGTTCTGTTTTTGTAATAAAACACCGTGGCCCCAAGGAAAAAACAATTTTTCTAGTTGAATTGAATAAGAGAAAGTCATTTGAGCATCTTCCAAATACAGTACACTTTAGGTATCTTAAAAAAAAATTCATCCCTACCTTCAAATAAGACCTTGCATCAAATAAACAAGACATAGCAAAGCAATGGAAGGTTGAGGAGGGAAGGCTGGGGCCTGTGAAAATTCTTTCTGTTTCTTATTAATAATTATAGTAGTATGAGTGATCAAAGCTGTAAATTAAGAATCACCGAAGTGGTTGTGAGTTAAGACTTGCAAATAAGATTGGAATCAGCGAGAGAGCGGGAAAAGCATGGGTGAATATGAGGGGAGACTAAGTGATAAACAGGGAAATTGGTGCTTAAGGAAGAAAATGGAAGAGAGGGAGGGGAATATCTGCTCTCATATATTTAGGAAAAGATTATCTGCTTTTCAGGGATGCTAATGAGCAAGATGACACTGGACATTTGCAGAAAATACAGAAGATTGGTTTTGACTTTGTAATATCATTTCTCTCAGTTCCTGTGACCTAAAGTACACAGAAGGAGTACAGTCCCTCAACTGGACTAAAATCATGAAGACCATTGTTGATGATCCTGAAGGCTTCTTTGAACAAGGTGGCTGGTCTTTCCTGGAGCCTGAGGGTGAGGTGCGTGAGTGTGGGGTTTCTTTTCTGGTACACAGTGTTGCCTGCTGTCATTTGGACAGTTAGGAGAATGGCACATATATAGTACATAGGGGACCAGACCAACTGAGAGAAGCTCTCAACACAACATGGTATTATTGTTTCTCCAAATTAGTTTCACAGGTGAACGATAAATTCACTGGGCATTGATAGCTAGTCGTAAGATTTCTTTGAAATTATAAAAAACTGTTCCTCAGTGAGTTTTCTTTGTATTTGGAAAAAAGATTTTGAGGACATTTTACAAAAACTATTTTCTAATCCATTGAAGTGAAAATGGAGAAAAAAATTATTTTTTAAAAAACGGTCCTCCCACTTCTGCATAATGCATTATTATAAAGGGTCTTTCTGTTGTTAATTTACCTAGGTAAGAAAGGATGTAGTGAGCCTTTGAGAAATATGAATTAGATGTTTAAGGTATCTAATAATGGCACCTTACCAATAATTTTAGACAAGTCATTTTATCCCCTGGTCACTCAGGTTTTTTGTTTTTGTTAAAAATGGGTTGAATTAATGTTTTAAGTTGATAAGGTGAACATAAAAAAAATAAAAACAATAAATAGTATTATGTTCTTTCTAACTCACCAGGGGAGTGATGCTGAGGAAGGGGATTCAGAGTCTGAAATTGAAGATGAGACTTTTAATCCTTCAGAAGATGACTATGAAGAGGAAGAGGAGGACAGTGATGAAGATTATTCTTCAGAAGCAGAAGAATCAGGTTAGTCTTTATAGGGAAGAGTTTGTCATGGCTTCCTAATCTGATGTGATTTCTGAGAAGTTTTTTTTAGAAAGGAAGAATTCTGTCATTTCATTCCATTCCTGCATAAGGACTAATGCTTAATTAATTTTATTCCAGACTATTCTAAGGAATCATTGGGCAGCGAAGAAGAGAGTGGAAAGGATTGGGATGAACTGGAGGAAGAAGCCCGAAAAGGTTAAAAAAAATTTTGTTGTTTTTGTTTATTTTACTTATTTATTTACATACAAATTTCTAACATATTTCAGTATTTTGAAGTGGTAGTCTGTAGTAGCCTAATGAGAGTAACAAAGGAACACTATGAAACTGATTTGGAGCCATAGCTACAACTTCATTGAACAAAAAGAAAACGAGGTCTGCAATGTGTTCACACTTTCCAGTGGGCATGACTCTGCCTAACTGGATGCTTTTTTCATCTGCCCAAGCCCCCAGTGTGCCCATGGCCATGATAGCCACATAGTCATGTAAGAATCCAGAATTTGCCTATTTAGTTTCCAAATCTGCATCCTTTAATAGTCTAACTTTCTGGGCCTCTTCCAGGTTAGGAATATCTTTTTTTTTTTTCTTTGAGACAGTCTCGCTCTGTTGCCCAGGCTAGAATGCTGTGACATCAGCCTAGCTCACAGCAACCTCAAACTCCTGGGCTCCTGCCTCAGCCTCCCGAGTAGCTGGGACTAGAGGTACACGCCACCATGCCCGGCTAATTTTTTCTATTTTTAGTAAAGACAGCGTCTCACTATTACTCAGGCTGGTCTCAAACTCCTGAGGTCAAGCGATCCTCCCACCTCAGCCTCCCAGAGTACTGGGATTACAGGTGTGAGCCACCACTGGCCAGGAATGTCTTTATGATGCTAATCTAGTTATTCTGAAACCAAATTCCAAATATAAGTTAAAGATGAAAAGAAAATATTTATTATCTACTGTGTCCAAAGCATTGTGATAGGTACTTTTCATAGGTTACTTTATTTAATCCTTATTCCTTTTATAAATAAACCAGGGCTCAGAAAAATTTAAATATTTGTCCAAGATCTCACAACTAGTAAGTGACTGAGTAAAGATTAAAATTCCACTCTGACTCCGAAGTACATTCTTCCAGCAATACTAGGTACCTAAAGCTAACCTACAATTAACTAATAATGCCTCTTTCTTCTATTTAGCGGACCGTGAAAGTCGTTATGAGGAAGAAGAAGAACAGAGTCGAAGTATGAGCCGGAAGAGGAAGGCATCTGTGCACAGTTCAGGCCGTGGCTCTAACCGCGGTTCCAGACACAGCTCTGCACCCCCCAAGAAAAAAAGGAAGTAACTTCTGAACTTTGGCCCTGAGCTCCATTCTTCCTCCAGCCAATCCCTGAAAATTTTACATGACATAGAAACTGTATTTTTCCTTTTGTTTTCTTTTGAAGTTTTGCCATTTGTGTTTTTGGGTTTAGGGGGCCATTTGTGTGGACCAATCTACTCGGGGAATTCCAGGCCCACCAGGACACGTGCCAATGGCCCCATTCGGATGGCAAGGGAGGAGGTGTTCTTGAAGACGGGCCGAGGCTCCCACTGTTAATAAATACCATTTCATTCCTCTCTCTTCCTGTCACCTTCTGCCAGGACATCGATGGCTTCTGACATCTTATTTTTTGGTGTGTCAAAGCTATATTTCCAAGACAATGGTACAAAGTGACCCTTATCTACCTGTACCATGGTTCTTGACCAGCAGATTCAATCCTCCATCCTACCCTACTGCCATGACCTTCCTCACGTCTCTTTAAGTTTTCTCTTGGCAATACTCAAGGTTCTTGGAATTTGCTAATGGTTGTGATAAACCAGACAACTTGAGCTAGTGAGGCAGTTTGGGCTAGTGCCTTCGTCTGAGTTTTCCTGTTTTCTTGACACATGCAGATTCTGAGGTATTTCTGCTGCTTTGGAAGACATAAGAAACAGTGACACTCCCTGGCTCGGTTATTTCTCCTTACAAAGTCACACATGGTACAATGATATAAGGCAAAATTATCACTGTCTTTTTTTTTTTCCTGATATATCTAAGGAAGAATGGTTGTGCCTCATATACTGCTTCTAGTGAAATCTAGAGGAAGGCTCAAAGGAGTCAACATTAGATCTGGAAGGGGCAAGTCATGCTTTGGGCCTAGAATACCCTGATGAGAAAAGAGAAGAGGAAGGGAGGCCATATCTACAACACAGCCTCTCATCACTGCTGCTCCTTATTTTTACTTGTCTTGCATTGTCCTGTATTTATCACAGTTTCTGTTGAACAGCTTTTTAAGTATTTGGGGAGTTTACTTGCCACCCTCCCCTTCTGGTTCTCTGCGCCCACCTGTCCCACTGCATTTCCTTCCATGTTCCGTGACTTTAAAAGAAGAGGGGGGGAGGGGTCTTGGATTTTATGTTTGTTTGTTTTTTCTCTTTAGCAGTAGGACTTGATATTTTCAATTTTGGAAGAACTAAAAGCTAAATAAACTGTGGGTTTTTTTTGTTGTTGTTTTGTTTTTATAAATTCACCTTTTTTGACTGTTCTCCAGTTCCTGAAAGCCAGCCTGCTTCTAACCTGGTAAAGCACTAAGGTGTTAGAGAAAAGTGCCTTTATCCAGCTAGTCTTACAAAAATAAACTTTCATCATTAGGTTCAGACATACTAGACATCACAGCAAACCAAATTCATGGTATAGCAAGTTACTTTATAAGAGACTTTTTACTATGTTTTCCTCAGAGATTTTGGAATGGAATAGCACTTGTTCCTTCATGAAAACAAATCCTCAGTCATCTCCTTGTAAATAGCGTGGAGGGCAGCAGCTGCTTGAAGGGAAACCTTCAGCCTTCCTATTGGGGTAGCCTGGTCTTCAGGGCTAACAACTGTTGGGAAAGGAAAAGAATAGTGTCAGACAACAGCATCTTCCAATTAAGCACTTTAATACCTGGTATTTGTTGGGTTAGATGCTGGTGATACTAAACGACGTTACTGGGCCATTTCATAAGGGGACTGAGTTTAGTGAAAGAGAAAGGAATACAGGGTCATTACAATGTATTGTGTAGATGCCGTAAGGAAAGCTCGTGGCACTTTGGGGACACAAAGGGGTACCTACACCAGAATGGAGAAATTGGAAGAGGGTTTCTGGAGATAAATTCATCAGCTAAGTCTTTAAAAAAGTAAAGATACTTTAAGCATATGCCAAGATACAAGAATATGATGAGTGTGGGAAACTGCCAGAAATTCATTTTTAACTGAAGATACTAGAAGTGGCTTTCTATGTGGGTTTTAGAAAGGTGACTCCATTATTGGAGAATACATTCAAAGGGAGCACAGGTAAACCAGGAGAGTAGTTATAAGGCTATTGCGGTAATTCCATGGGGGAATGAAGGTCTGAAGTTTAACAGCAGGGATGGAGAGGTGGGGACAAATTCAAAACATTTAAGAGGTAAAGTTAGAATTTTGTGATTGTTGGGAGTGAGGAATAGATTGGAATAAGGTTGGAATAGGTTGGATGACTGTTCTAATTTGGATAACAAGATGAACAGTGGGTAAGAATACACGGTACAAAGTTGTCATCAGGGGAGTTTGAGGTACCAACGGGACATACAAGTAGTGATATCTATTAGTCTGTTGTAAGTCTAGATTGTATTAAAAATCTGGTCTAGCCGGGTGCGGTGGCTCACGCCTGTAATCCTAGCACTCTGGGGGGCCGAAGCGGGTGGATAGTTTGAGCTCAGGAGTTCAAGACCAGCCTGAGCAAGAGCGAGACCCCGTCTCTACTTAAAAAAATAGAAAGAAATTGGCTGGACAACTAAAACTATGTAGAAAAAATTAGCCGGGCATGGTGGCACATGCCTGTAGTCCCAGCTACCCGGGAGGCTGAGGCAGAAGGATCGCTTGAGCCCAGAAGTTTGAGGTTGCTGTGAGCTAGGCTGACACCACGGCACTCTAGCCTGGGCAACAGAGTAAGACTCTGTCTCAAAAAAAATAAATAAATAAAAATAAAAATCTGGTCTAGAAACCTAGATTTGCGATGGTATCTAGACTATAATTAAAAGCCTGAGAGTGGATGCAATCACACAGGAAGAGGGTATGTGGAGGGGAATAAAAAAAAAGACCAAGGATTGAATTAGGAGAATCCCACATTTAAAGGAATAGACAGGAAAAGGAAACCTGCAAAGGAAACAGGACCACCCAGAGAGTGATGGGGAGTCATAATGTCCTAAAAGTCAGGGGAGAACAGAGTTTAAAAAGGGGAATGAGCAACATACTGAGGTTTAGAAAGTTCAAGTAAAGATGAGTAATAAAACCAATTGAATTTGGCAGTTAGAAAAACTGGTAACAGATTCAGTAAAGTGCTTGGAATGTAAATGATCTTAATGGAAGAGTAGGAGATTAAAAAAAAAAACAATATTGTGGACTGATCACTCAGCAAGAATTTCAGGGAGCTGAGTTTTTGTTTGTTTTTTTTTTTTTGAGACAGTCTCACTGTGTTGCCCGGGCTAGAGTGCCATGGCGTCAGCCTAGCTCACAGCAACCTCAAACTCCTGGGCTCAAGCGATCCTCCTGCCTCAGCCTCCCGAATAGCTGGTACTACAGGCATGCGCCACCATGCCCGGCTAATTTTTTCTATATATTTTTAGTTGTCCGATTAATTTCTTTCTATTTTAGTAGAGACGGGGGGTCTCGCTCTTGCTCAGGCTGGTTTCGAACTCCTGAGCTCAAAGGATCCGCCCGCCTCGGCCTCCCAGAGTGCTAGGATTACAGGCGTGAGCCACCGCGCCCGGCCAGGGAGCTGAGTTTTAAAGTGTTAAGGGAGAAGGTAGCTATAGGGCTAGGAAGCAGAGTTTTAATTCTAAAATCAGACCAACATGGTTAAAGCCTGGGTGGAAGGGAGGCCATAATGAGGAAATCACTTTAAATTTTTTTGATGATTAAAAATAAAAATTGAGAAGCATTCATTGGCTTTGGGGATTTTGAAGTCACTAGAGAAAGCTTAAGGTGGTTTTCCTTATGTATAAAGGGCATGGAGGTCAGGAAGAGCATGGCATGTTTAGGGGTGGGAACAGAAGTAGAAATTGAGAGTGAGTTGGAAAATGGCTGGCACAGGTAACATCACTTGCCACGTGCCAGGCTCTGTCCTAAGCCCTTAATCCTCCCTTCATCCCTTACTTAAGTGCTCCCTTAGTCTTCACAACAATCCTAGGGGATAGAGACAGCTATTATCCCCATTTTAGAGTTGAAGAAACAGGCACAGAGAGGTTAAATAACTATCAAGATCAGCTGGAAAGATACTAGAGGAATATAATGAATCTTGTCTAAAATTTGAACTTTTTAACACTCGGTCTGAGAAGTATTTCTCAAAAAATTTTTGTTATGATCAGTAAGAACAATTTTATATGATGATTCATTAAACAACTGTACATAAAACAAGTTTCACAAAACAGTATGTGCAATGTACTGATATTTTCTTTTCCACAGTTTTGGTTTGCTTTTTTCAAATTCTTGTGACTTGGCTAATTTAATTTCACCATCCACTAATGGGTTGATGAAACACTGGTCTAGTGGATAATTTTAAATGCCCAATAGAGCCTAGCAGATAAGATAGGTAAAGTCCCAGGTATGTAAGGTTATGGGAGCAGTGAGGACTAGACAGACCAGTGTTAAGGGAGCAGGAATAGGACTGAAAAATCAAGGTCTTAAAAGCACAGCTCAACCTGATTAACCTGAAAAGAAGGGATTACTGAAAAGGATACATTCTAAAGGCATTTAAATGCAAATATTTTTAAAGCATGCTGATCTATAGCAAACTGTAGAAGGATTGAAGAAGAATGCAATAATTAAATTTATTATGTAGAAACATTCACTGTAGTAGACGGAAATGGGGTGGCAGAAACCAGTGTTAGGGAGACCAGTTTAGAAAACAATTACAGTAGTGGGGATGTAGTCAAGATACCAGTAGAATGTCTAAGACATGGTGACCAATGAATGTAAGGAAAGAGAAGGGACTTGGTGTTTGTAGAGTGCATGATAACACATCAACAGAGAAGGAGGATCGGCTGCCTTTACAAACCTTTTATGCTCAAGAGAGGTCAGAAATTCAGATGTTTAAATTTGATTGAAATGAAAAGATCTTGTTTTTTAAAAAATTCCCTATCTCAAACATTAGAGATTCAAAAACAGAGTCTAGTTGTATATGGGAGCTAAAATATACAACTGAATGCTTTCATGCTTGATCCAGAAATAAATATAGCTATAGGGGTAAGATTTCAATCCAGTTTGTGTCTCATCAATTTCACGGTGATAATTATGTATTGAAGGTAAAACAGGAAAAGTACTCATTATTAGGATGATTTCCATGGAGGTAAATGGAACTGAGAAGCACAAAAATTTATTACTCACTATCTAGCTCTTGCCCTAGAATATCTCTTCCTGATTCCAGTATCTGCCACAGTTCAAGGTATGCATATCCTACTTCTTGACATTCTTTCTTCTCTTCATCCATAGGATCACTTACGACTGTAAACTTTAAACTAAAAAGAAAAGAAAAATTCCATTTAATTTGGCACTGCTAATACCCTTATGCTTTAAAAATAAAATAAAGATAAAAGTAATCATAAATAATACTGTGTTTCCTCTTGTGAACTAAAATAAAATCTTACTCACCCCCCACGGGCTGACTGAATGGACCCCAGCTTGGCCAAGGGGATATCCTAAAACTAAATTGCCTGCCACGAGGAGGGAGGTCAGACAGGCCTCATCATGCCCCCCTCCCTTCTTGGAGGCATCCTTTGTAATCCTTTAACAGGCCTAAGGGTATGCAAGACAAACCTGCAGGTCCTCAATTTACACAGCAAATATATGTCTGGTGGCTTGTCTGTGATAAACAGCTCCTTATCTTAAAATATTCCAAGCCTTTAGACAAAGCTTCATATCTCTAACCAATTGTAAGTCAAAGAGTCTTCAAACCCACCTATAACCTGTAAGCACCACTCCCCTTTCAGATGGCCCACCTTTTCAGGCCAAACCAATGTATGCCTTCCACCTATTGATTTATCACTTTATCTGGAACCACTGTCTCCCTGAAATGCATTGTTACGGCAGAGTTGACCAGGAACAGATCGAGACGCACATAGAAATATTGGCAAAACAGGTTTATATACGCTGGCGGGCTCAGAGGGAGATTTTTTCTCCCAAATTCTGAGCCCCGAATAAAGAATGTATCAGTCTTTTATACATTTTGTTTGGGGCACAGTTAATGAGTGAAGAAGCATAGTTACAATGAGATCGTTCTTTAGTGGAGGCAGGGTCCGGAGCAACCTTAGTTCCTGGTACAGAGTTCCTGTGGAATGTCTTCCTGTCTTATCTCACCTTACTAGTTGTTGTTGCAAGAGCTTTATAGCTGCTTAGGAAAGACAATGGGGTAGAGCCCTGGCAGTGGAATTTTCCACTACAGTATAAAACCAAACTGTAACCGAGCAACACCAGCCCACTTGCTCAAGGCTTCTTGGGTGTGGCTCCGGGTCATGGTCCTCAAATTTGGCCCAGAATAAATCTCTTTAAAATTATTTTACGGCCGGGCGCGGTGGTTCATGCCTGTAATCCTAGCACTCTGGGAGGCCGAGGCGGGTGGATCATTCCAGGTCAGGAGTTCGAGACCAGCCTGAGCAAGAGCGAGACCCTGTCTCTACTAAAAAAACAGAAAGAAATTATCTGGACAACTAAAAATACATATATAGAAAAAATTAGCCAGGCATGGTGGTGCATGCCTGTAGTACCAGCTACTAGGGAGGCTGAGGCAGGAGGATCGCTTGAGCCCAGGAGTTTGAGGTTGCTGTGAGCTAGGCTGATGCCATGGCACTCTAGCGGGGGCAACAGAGTAAGACTCTGTCTCAAAAAAAAAAAAAAATTATTTTACAGAATTTGGCTTTTTTTCTGTTAACACTCTGAATCACCTTTCCCTTGCCTCCATTTTACAAGACAATAACAAGCAAAAAAGTGAGGAATCAGTATAATTTAAGTACCGACAGGCCTTTAGAAGAAGGAACTAAGACACTTGCGATAATGCAGTTGATTAAGTTGTCTCAAAACTGTCAAGATATAATTATAAGATGGTTTACAATTTTGTTGAAATATTTTTATATGGGCAGTGAAAGTGTTGCATAAAATACCCAGGATTATGGCAGTTAGGAGAGGTTTTAAATTTCTGAATAAAAGCTGGGTATCAAGCCAGAGCAGAGTAAAGGAAGCAGAAGGAATACAGAATTGCAAAACAAGTATGTAAAGTGTATTCCTTAGAGTTGTGAGTCTTGAAAGACAATGCTATAAAGCATGCAGTACAGTGCCCCAAAAGCAGTGAGCAGTCTAGTCTATGACAATTAGTATTATGTTGACTTAGCTAGCAAATGATATTGGATTCTAGAAACTGGTACAATTTATAACAATCCTATTAAATTTTTTTAGATAAAAGTCATGTAACATAAAATTCACAATTTTAACCATTTTCAAGTATACCATTCAGTGTTTTTTGGTATAAGCACAATGTTGTGCAACCATCACCACTAATTCCAGAACATATCATCACTCTAAAAAAGAAACCTGCACTGATTAAACAATCATTCCCCATTCTCCTCTTCCCCAGCTCCTGGCAACCACTAATCTACTCTCTTTCTCTCTGGATTTTCCTATTCTGGACTCTTCATATTTCTATTAATTTTTTAAAAGCAAATATCGGTGGCTAAATAGAGTGCTAAGGAAGCAGGAATAGGACTAAAAATTCAAGCTCTTAAAAGCACAACTAAACCCGATTAACCTGAAAAGAAGGAATTACTGAAAAGGATACATTCTCAGCCCATTAAGCAATATTCAGTTGTGATTATGTTTCTGTATCATTACTGAGAACTTCACAATGCAAAGGCTAATGCTGGCTCCTCCCTCACCTCAATTTTCCCAGGAAAGGGATGGTAACTGAAATTACTATATGCTAGGCACAATACCAAGTGCTTTACGTAAACTATGTTATCGCAGTTTTATTCTCACAGGAGCCTTCAAACTAAGTAATATCACAAAGATCACAGTGATAATAAGTGAAAGAGTCAGGATTCAAAACCAGGCCTGCCTGATTACAAAGCCAGTGTCCTGTCTGCAATACCACACTGGCAAAAAGAAAGTCAAAGGTAAAATCAATTGAAATCTAAAATTGAGTAGAAAAAGATTAACATTGTAAGAGAATAAAGGAAGAGAGAATTCTAGGAACAGTGGGGGTGAGGGGGAAGCAAAAGATTAAAACACCAGCTCCGTATCATTTCTTACCCATACACATACAGAAGAGGCAGGGTTGCTAGAGTTTAAAAAGCAAACCACAACCATATGCCCACTTAAATTTAAATTTCAACTAAACAACAAATAATTTTTTTAGTAAAGCATGTCCCACGCATTTAATCTGAGAATGCTTAAAAGGAGGCCTTCTCAGATTATAGGAATAACAAGGAAAATAAACTTTTTTAGAACTTTAAAGGAGACCTAGAATTTCCTTAGTTATATCAAAATCAAAATAGTCCTGTAAAGAAACAATTTTAAAAATCTGAATATAAAAATTAACATTATAAGGGCATACTGTTTGGTAAGCTAGCAATAGTACTGCGTGTGTGAGAAATGAATCAAATTATCTTTGAATATCATAGCATTTTGTTCATTCCATTTGGTCACTGTCAATATTCAAGTGAGTTGTTGCCACAAAAAAAATGTGCCCATCAGGGTCCAGCAGAGGTGAGAAATGAACTAAACCTATGAGATCAAATAATTTAGTCAAGTAGTCACAAACATATTAATATAAATTAGGTAGATGGGAAATTCACTAAAAGTAAATTAACTTGAAAGAAGTTTTTAAAATATTCAGCATCAGCACAAAACCAAACTCAAATTTCTGAATTCCTTTCTGAAATCTCCTTTCTTTCAAAATAAAAAGCGGATGCTTACCATCCTTGCTCAGGATCTTGTCCATTCAGCATGGTAAACAGAAATTGCCTTCGGCCTTGTTGCTCCCGTGGGTCCAGGTCTATCACTGTATTAAGGGTAAAAGAAAAGAGCAAAAAATCAAATACCTTTGTCATTTGGGCAGTGATATAAAGCAGAGGTGGGCAAACTAGGGCCTATGGGCTGCCTGCCTGTTTTTGTAAATAAAGTTTTATTGAACACAACCATGCCAACATACTGTCTATCGCCGCTTTCAAACTACAATGGGAGAATTGAATAGTTGTGACAGAGACTGTATGGCCCATAAAGCCTAAATTATTTACTATCTGACAAAAGAAAAATTTGTCATCCCCTGATACAAAGGAAACATTATAATCTATATTGAAAGCTGTTCTGCCATATGCCAAAATAAATGTGTTCCCACCACTCCACAGCTGGAAGAATTCCAGGACACTGATTCTATAGGGCCACCTGGAGATTTGGGTTTTGTGGTAGGTTCAAGTAAAAGTACCTATCTCAACATTTATTCTCTGCTTCCTCCTCAATTTTTTAAAAAAATAAATTTGCCCTGAGAGATCTCTTCATTTTTATATGGGAATGCTGCAGCCTCAAATAAACTAGCCTGCATTTTCCATTTTCCATCTTATCTAAATAATGGCTATCTGATTAACTTCTGGTCATTATGTTGTGTGAAACCTTTGTGAAGACTGCTTAAAAGGCTCAGGTGGAGGCATTCTTTTCCCCAGGAGCCAATAAGAAACTTGGGGCAACCAAAAAGATGGAAGGCAGGCACTAGGATGATGGAAGGCAAGATAGGGATTTGGATCCCCAATGGTAATCACATGACCTCAGCCATCTCTAGACTTGTTTTACATAAGTGAGAAATAAACTTCTATTTTGTATGATACAAGGATAGGATATGAAAGAAAAAGAAAGAAAGAGCTCTTAGAAATTAAAAATAAATATTCAGTCCATGGAAGATAAAATTAAGGAAATCTCTCAAGACAGAAAGAAAAAAACAGAGGTAGAATTATAAGAGGAAAATGATAAGAAAATTAGAGGATAAATTTAGAAGATCCAACATTCTACTAAGAAAATGAGAAAATATTGGGGACATAATTATTAAATGTGAAATACGATAAAATTTCCCAGCACTAAAAGCCATGTGTTTCTAGATATGGAGGAAAATACTAGAAGAAACAGCTGGAAAAGTTAAAAGTGGCTATGGTAGACTGAGGCAGGGGCTGTGGGTGGGGAAGAGATTGTGAAGAAGAGGTAGAGCAAAGCACTGCTTAATTTTAAAATCTTTTTAGGCCCATCTGATATTTTTAACTATATTTATATAGAATTTGATAAACAAAATTATAAAATAAAATGGTTGGATCTACCCCATCAACAAAAATCCAGCATAGTTCTGACCCTCAGTATAAATGTTTGTCACCCACCTCTCCCCACCGGCCACACAGGAAGCCTCACCCTTGCTAAAATGGAAGTGAATTTCTTCTCCTGGCCTCGGTTTCCTCAGGGATACTGGAGTCTCTGTCTCTGACAAGGGTAGGTCATAGAATTTGTACTCCACGTACACCTGTTTTACGTTCTCATCAGACATCACTTCGGCCTCTGGGTAGAAGGCCAGGGAGACAACTTCAATGCACATCTTCTCTGAACCCTAAGAAGGAAAATGCTTATTTATTTCCTAAAAGTTAGTGAGGCTCCAAGTGCTTATACTTCATCCAATTCACCCATTATAGTGCTCACTAGAAATCAAAGATAGTCATATTCCATCTCGTATATTCAATTTTTGGTAAAGCTGGCACCAAAAGACAATTTGATTGAATTGCCACAGCTAATCTGTGGGAAATGTTACAAGAGAACCCAGTTGTTCTCTTTCCCTGCCTAGTGAATCATGTCTCCAGGTCAGCCTTCCTCACCCATCTCCACATACAGAAAAAAAATCAAGAACATTTCTGAACAGATAGTTTTTCTCAACTTTCTCAATGAAAACCAATCTAGCATTTTCCTGAGGTTAAGAGCTAAAAGACCTGCTGTTTAATAGTGGAGATTTAGTAGCTGTGTCAGCCACCATAGCAAAGAGCTGCCCAGTGCTTCCTGTGCCATCTAAGTGCATGCTACAGAGGAGGCCACCAGACTCCCCTGCCCTTCCACAGGAACTCCAATACTTTCAACTTCACTTTAGAGTCGCGGCCACCACCAATGCCCTCTCTTTTGATTGTCCCTGTGTCCATCTGGGCATTAGGGATACCAGTAGGAAGCCCGAAATCTCTCAAAAGTACACTGAGACCAGCATAAGTCCCCTCCTTCCATACTGTGGTAGTAAGTCAGAGTCACGACATGAGTTCTGAGTCAGTCCAGAATGGTCCCCTCCCAGCCATCATTCTCCCTTCCATCTGGGAGTGTCCGCCTGGCTGCTGCTGCTTTCCTCTAGGTTGCCAGGCCAGTGCCTTTGCTTCCCCAAAGACATGCCCCCACCCCATCTTTTCTTCTCTTAGAAAGCAAGTGGAGCTCCTGTACCTTCTCCCAAGAAATGCAACAGGCAAGATCTCACAACGATTCTGCACCAGAATCATCTGGGGTGTTTCTTAAAAATGAAGACATTTGGTGTTTTCCTCTCAATAGCCCCCACGTAACCCTCCCACAACACCCATCAAGCAAACCATTGACTCTATACAGTATTTTCCAAAATGTGGGTTTTGACACTTTGATGGGTCAGCTTAGTGGATTTTACTAGCACTCTTTTTTTTTAAGACTAGTCAAGCTCAGTAGTGAAGAAGGGAAAGTAGTAGAACAAGGAGTTTAATCTGTAATCAGTACTAGCACTTTTTTAATGAAAGAATAAAATAGAATAGGATCGGATAGAATAGAATAGAATGGTGTATGGCAAATGTTAAGGGTAAGCCTGGTTTCTTGAAACTTTTGTTTTCTTATGAGCGTATTGGGAACTGTAGAAAAATGTCTTTCTTAAAGTGATTGACATTTAAAAAGTATGAAAGCCCCCGTTATATCAGACTGTCTAGGGTGGCTCCTGGAAACCTGCATTTAACTTTTAAATATTTAGTTATACTTGACACACAATAAAATGAAAAGAATTTAAGTGTGTACAATTTATTCAAGATATAGAACATTTCCACAGCCCAGAAAGTTCTCTCATGCCACTATGCAATTAATTTTAAGTTGTGAATCTATGCTGTCATCTCAATAAATATTAAGCAGAATTTTCCCCCTGGAGCATGGCTGTGTTTAATTTTTCACAGAACACACTTTGGGAAACACTGGGGTCTGGAAAAAAAAGGAAAAGGTGTTCATAATTGTGTAAGTATCTGAATGACCCTCAGCTCCATCCTACCAAAAAAAGCCTTCCATGCTTAATGGGGATGAACATTTCCCCTACAGTTAAAAATGAAAAACCAGCAGACCAGTGGCTTTCAATCTGTAAGACTCAGTGTATGTGTATCTATTAATATATAAGTGTGTAGGAAATCACTTAAATAAGTCTCCTAAAACAATTCTTAGCCTTACTATGTATGATACAAACTGTTATTTTATGTTCTATTCCATCTGGTTCTTTTTCATGCTGGCTGGGCCCCCTGCTCTGCTATGGGACACTACAGCCAGGAGCTGAGTGTGGCTCTTGAGCACTTGCAATGTGGCTACTCTGAATTGGGATGTGCTGTAGGTGTAAAACTCACACAGGATTTTGACGACTTTGTATGAAAAAACAAATGTAAAATATCTCAATAATTTTTTATATTAAATACATGCTGAAATGACAATACCTTGGTTATATTAGGTTAAATAAAATATATTACCAAAATT